TGTAGGGAATATTTATGAGTTGGTTTGAGCCACATGGGCTGGGGAGCAAGATCTCAAATGCTCCAAAAAATAACAATGTGTCGGCTTCTTTTATGCATTTGAAATTAAGGAGGGGATGTAATGAAGATTACATGAAAGTGGGAGAAAGTAAGGTGGGGACTGGATTACAGAATAGTAAAGGTGATGTGCTTTCTTGAGGGAGGTTATTTTAAAGGTGTGTGAACGGAGACATACAGAAACGATGGAGAGGGTTTGCATAAGGCAATGACAAACCCTTTACTAACAAGTTATAGACTACCCACCATGACCTGCCCAGTTAGGAATTTATGATCAGATCACCCTGTGAGATTACTTTCCACAGAAACTTCTTTTTGGGGTCCACAATACTTAGCTGCCTACTCTAAATGTAGCAGTGTAATTAGACCACTTGTGAAAAGCCTGCTGCCTGGTGTGCTCATTCTCCAGCTCTCTAAACGCTCTTTGTCACACTGGAGCGGTGGTTCTCACACTGCGGTCCTGGACCAGCAACACCAGAACCACTTGTAAACTTGTCAGCGATACAAATTCTCAGGTTCTGCCCGAGATCAACTGAATCAGAAACTCTGGGGCTGAGGCCCAGAAACCTATAGTTTCACAAGCCCTCCACGCGATTCTGAGGATCACTCAATTCAGAACTACTGTACTAGAACAGGATCAACAAACTATGGCCCGTGGCCCAAGTCCAGCCCAACGACTCTTTCCGTAGTTCGTGTAGTTCGTTGGAACATGGCTGCATTGTGGCACTTACTTCTGCGTCATTTATGGCTGCTTTCTCTCCACAACAACAGACGTGAGCTGAGTAGTTGTGACAGAGGCTGCATGGCCCCCCTGAGCCTAAAATATTTCCTATCTGGCCCTTTACAGAAAAAGTTTGCCCACTTCTGGACTCAGGCATCATTCACCAAACTTTCCTAAGGGTTACTTTTGGTCTAGGGAAAGGTGATTTTACGTGACTTGCTATTTTTCATCAAGTTGTGCCAAGTCTGTGAGTTAGGTGTCAGTGATGAAAGGATGATAAGTTACAAATTATTTTTGTCTGATAATGATTTTCCTCTGCTAGGGTTCATCACAAAGGCAAAAACCTTATTGTCCTATAGAATGTTAGCCAGTTTGGGATCTAACCTAGCCATTGTATACCTTTTGATCTTTTCCTCTCATTATCACACATAGACACACACACAGACACACACAGACTGGGTCCTCTGACCTAGTTTTACCTTCTTCTGGTCACTAATAAGTTCAACAAATCTTTGAGACATGCTCACTCTGTACTGGCCCAAGACTCATCTTTTGAACTTCCTGAAATTTATCCTTTGACACTGATGATACTTAATTCCTCCTATATTCCCTGTCTCTGTCATTATCCTTCTTTCATCTCCTAGTTACCGGGGTGTGAAATTGTGCACCTCTTCTGATTCCTTGCTTACTCTTCAAACAAATCAGTCTCCAAATCTCACTGGTTTTACTGCCTCCCTCCCCCCCACTCCCGCCCCGCCCCAGGTTCTCTTGGAGCCATTTGTTTCCTTGACTCATGCCAGAGTTTAAGTCCCTACTCCCTCTTTCCTGAACTGTTACAACACCACCTCCTTGGCTCTTTGTAATCAATTGTCTACACAAGGCTACTGGAAAAATATCCCCAAGGAAGACCTCAGGCCATTTCACTTCCCTGTAGAAAAACCTTCTGTGGCTCCTCACTGTTCAGCCACAGGGGAAAGCCCTAGGTCCTTAGCCTGATTTTTCAGCCTTCCTGCATTTGACCCCAAGCTTATCTTCCCTATTTGCCCTTAGTAATAACCTCCACAATCCGGGCCTGTATACACTCCATCCTTGCCTTCCTTTGTATCGCCCCTCTGCCTGTAATACCTTTGTTCCTGTTTCTGTATGTCCCAACCTAAGTGTTCCTCAACCCCCACACTGAAGCTCCCCACCCCCATGCCGATCCTTTTATCCTAAGTCAGTTTTCTCTCTGTGGTCAATTCCCAACTCATTTCATTTGTGTCTCTCTTCTGGCACATATCACTTTCTATTCTGTGACGTGCTCCTTTACGGACTTTTCCGTGGTCCTGTTGTAAGACAGCCCCAGGATCCAACTTGTGTTCACATTGTTACCCATCTGTGCTAAGATCGGTAAGAGCCAGGGAAATTTTTGAGTAGGAGCTGCTGGAAAATGAAAATCTCCACAGAAAAAGTTGAGATTTTCAAACTTTTTCAAATTACTTCAAAGTGTCAAATTATTTTTTGAATCTATAAAATCTCATCAAAGTATATTTTCCTATACTATCTTTTCGTGACTATTTTCTTTCCCCCATTTGAAAAGATTAACTATTTAATATTGAAGGAGGACAATGAATATTCTTCAAAATTTAAATGATTCTTCCTTTCTTCTGTTTGGTGTATCTTCTCTCCATAAGCAAGATTTTACATTTGAATGTGGCAAGTCCCAGCATGTAATTATTCAGCGTTGTTTATTCATGAGTGAAGATGATAGTTTTCTGTGTGGACACATTCATCAAAAGGGCACCTTGATTGACCTGCCTTTTGACCCAGCAATTCCACTGCTAGGATTATACCCCAAGAATCCTAAAACATCAATTTCAAAGAACCTATGCACCACAATGTTCATAGCAGCACAATTTACAATAGCCAAGAGTTGGAAGCAACCTAGGTGCCCATCAGTAAATGAATGGATCAAAAAATTGTGGTACATATACACCATGGAATTCTATGCAGCAGAGAGAAAGAAGGAGCTACTACCTTTTGCAACAACATGGATGGAACTGGAAAGCATTATGCTGAGTGAAATAGGCCAGGCATTGAAGGACAAATACCATATGATCTCACCTTTGACAGGAAGCTAAAGAATAAAACAAACAAGCAAACAGAATAAAAACAAAGACACTGAAATAGAGAACAAGTGGGCAGCGACCAGAGGGGAGAGGGAAGGGAACTTAAGGGGAAAAAGGGGGAGGGATTTTGAGGAACAAGTATGAAAGACACAGAGATGAGGACTGGGGGGGGGGGGGGAATGGGAGGGAGGGGGGAGACCGGGCGGGGGGGTGGGGTGGGATGGGAGAAATAGATGAAAAAAAAATGTACTTGAAAAGTAACTAAATAAAATAATATTTAAAAAAAAAAAGGGCACCTTGATACCAACTGTTTCCTCATGAAGTTCTAAAATCTTTCTTTGGTCTTTTAATTCATTAAGAAAGCATAAGCAACGCATACATTTTTTTAACTGGGAGGGATATTAGTGTCTAACTTTTGGGTACCCCAGTCAATCAAGGTGGAGGAAGTTACGGCACACCTGCTGCTTCCTATCCAATGGTTTTCATTCCCATCACATTATAATACAGTGTTTCTCCATACGAATGGATTCCTCACCAGCATCATCTGGAGAGCTTGTTATAGAAGTACATTCCGAAGCCCTACCCGAACTCAGACTCTTTGGAGCTGGATTTCTTAGAATCTTTATTTTTTATTTAAACTCCCAGATGCTCTTATGCAACCTGGTTTGTGAGTCACAGGCTAAATTCTTATCCTCTTCTAAATTCAGACAAAAGCAGAAACCCCTATAGAGTTGCCCCAAGTGCACCTAAAACAAACCAAGAGGGTTGAGAGATTTTGTTCATCTTCTCTCCTGTCTCAAAGTGTCCTATTTCTTTATAACTCTACCTTAATGTTTTATTTTGAAAGTATTTGAGCACACAGAAAAGTTGACATACTTGTACAGTGGACACTCAGATACATACCATTAACAGGTTAGTTGCTACAGTTGCTTTACCACAAGTCTATCCTTTTATCCACCTCTCTAATCATCAACTCATCTCATTTCTTTCAGATGAATTCCTAAATGAATTTCAGATATCAGTAATGTCTCATTTGGGATGATGGTGACTTGAAGAACAACACACAGTGAATCCCTTGCAGCCCTGGTGAGAGTACAAGTGGCCCCTTTATTAGACAGAGTTGGTGGTGCTTGGCCTTGGCAGCACATTTATAATGCATTTAGTCAAAGACAGAAAGTAGTTTTGGTTGGCTGTGGACAACAGGCTGATGTCTCAGGGACCAGCAAAGTCCTGCAAAGTAGTATCTACTTGTCTCTATTCATTTGAATGAGAGCCTTTGTTTTGTTTCTGGAGGAAGAAGGGGAGGTTTGGGAGAGGAGATAAATATGGAAGCAGTAACCCCTCCCCTCTTCCACAGATTTTTGAGTCCCTAATGGAGAGAGGGGTTAGAAGCTAAGGTTTGCTGGTGTAGTGATTAGCAGCAAAAGATCTCAAGTCAGACTGCCTAGGCTAGCATTCCAGCTGCCTCTGGCTGTTTGACCTATGATATAACCCTCACCTTCTTGGCCTCGGTTCATTCGTCTGTAAAATAAAAATAACCCTAGTACCTATCTTAAATTGTTGTGGAGGAAATACGTGTGCCTGACATGTAATGCAATCAGCTTCAGTTGCTAAAATACAATTACATTCTTTGATGAGATTCCACAAGTTCACACAAAATTAACATATGCCACTGTAGCAGCTGAACAAGAAAGAGACGAATAAACTAAATGAAGTTGATAAGTAAAACTGAGAGATGCAAAAGGCAGCAGGCCTCAGAGTCCTTCCAGACAATCCATTGCATTTAAAATGAAATTTAATTTCTTCCCTTGCCCTGTAAGGCCCCTACATTATCTGGCCTCTGCGTGCGCCTCCAATCTCATCTCCTCTCATCCCTTGCTTAGCCCTAGTTACACCAGTCTGGTTTCAGAATGAGCCAAGCTCATTTGATTCTCAGGACATGTGTACTTTCTGTTCCTTTACATGAACGTCTCTGCCCAGATATTCACAAGGCGTGTGATGTGGTGGGTAAGGGCTACCGGGGATGGGCGCCGGACAAGGAGGGGGCGGGGCTAGAGGGGGCGGGGCTAGGGCGGAGGCGGGGCAGGGCGGAGTCCGCCGGATGTCTAGGCGGAGGCCCAGGAAGTGACGGCCCAGCCCGTGGACTTCTGGAGTCGGCGAGGGCCGCGCTGCCACCGCTGTGGTCGCTGTGTTCCCGGGCCCTGGGAGATGGAGAACGGAGCCGTGTACAGCCCCACCACGGAGGAGGATCCGGGCCCTGCCAGGGGCGCCAGGAGTCGCCTCGCCGCCTACTTCAACCTGGGCCGGCTCAAGTTGCCTCATCGCGTGCTGAAATTCTTGCAGCTGGTGAGCCCGTGGCCATGGCGGCCGGGCCGGGCCGGGGAGGGCGGTTTGGTCCCTGGGACATCGGCCTGTGGGCTTGGGAGGCTGCCGAGCAGCCTCTCTTCAACGTGGTTGTTCAGGAAGCGGTCGTTTCCACACCCCCCAGTTCCTTCCCTCTTCGACTTAGAAGGGGGCGTTACCCTCCGGCCCCACCGCCCCCCTCCGGGCGGCCCCCGTTCCTGGATCTCTTTCTGGCTGGGACCCAGATGGCCATTGAGGGCCACCGAGCCTGTTAGGTGGATTCCAGGAAATGCATCGGAGCAGACCCAAGTGAGACACTTGGACTCATTCCATTTACTCCTTTGTAGCCACCTTCGTTTCTTCTCCCAGCTATTGCTCTGCATTGTCTCCCACAGTTCCCGTATTTAGACTACAAAGTACTTTTTTGTTTATCTTACCCTGGTTCCTGCGGTTTTCCTGGGGCGAGTCCATGGGGACAGTTTAATTTGGTGGACAGTCTTCCGATACCACGCACTGGCACTGAGATATGGCAGTATCTCAGTTTATCTTGTTCAATAAATTGTCTCCCAAGAGTTTTATGTTGATTGGAAAAAGAACTATTTCCGGATTGGCAACATGTGAGCGCGAAGTGCAAAATCAAAAGGATGTCTTTTTGTGTTTGAGTGCTCGTGGCAAAACTAGGGCACGGTATTTTCAATTTCATTGAATTTTAGTTTACTGTGGGCAGTGAAGGTACCTTTCCCCTGTTGGTGAAAATATCAGAGAACATCTTTGAGAATGAAACTTTAATTCTCAGGTTGTTTACACACATACTGAGTTCATATATTCTGTTTTAACGATATTCTGTTTCAACAATGAGAAACGTTTTCTGCAAGACGAAAAATAAGACTGCTTAGAGTAGGTTTATGGATTGGTTTGTTTCTTTCAACCATGCCAAGTGAAAATAACCAATTAGTTTCTTTGGGAGGAACTTAAATTAATAGAATTCAGATAACCAGAGCTTATGTTCTTAGAACTGAGATGACCTACTTTTATGGAATAAAAAAAATAGCAGTCAGGAAACTGGCATTACTTTAAAGTCAGCAAAATCACATCTGGGAATAATTGGGAAATCACTTGGAGGCAAGTGACAATATGGCCTGTGGAGCTCAAGAGAGCCTGGCTCTGTCTGTCTGTCTGTCTGTCCAGCCTTTTTTCAGTTAGTTCCACATTTTCGCTTCTTGGCAGGAGGGGTTCCCAGTATCTTTGCATCAGCTATTCCTTCTACCCAGGAGTGATTCCTTCTGTGCTTGCTCTTGTTAGCTCTCAGGTGACTGGTAGATTTCAGCAGTTTCTCTTTCAGGAGAGCTAAAATGTTTCTGCTTGAATTTAGAACAGAAAAGATTATTAATCTAAAGCATTCTTACTACTTAAAAAAATCATCAATATTCATCTCTTGCCCATTAAATCTGTTTTCAGTTGCCTGTAGTTTTCTTCCTAATTAGACATAGCAGAGCTAAAGTAAAATTTTTTGATACCTTATTTGTAGGTCAATAAACTATAGTTGTGCATCTTCAGAATAGAATACAGCTAGAAAATTTGGAAGTAGACTTTACTTGGGCTTACAGAAGAGGGGAAGATGAACTTGCTTTGCGAAGATTGTTAGACTATTAGTCCTGCTTGTTCTTCATCATCCGTAAAGAGAAAGAGGGAAAGGATAAAAACTGATGTCTCTTTTGAAATCTATTTATTTGTTCGTGGGGAACTTGGAGTGTTATAAGAATGCTTTCTTTAATATATATTTTAAATTTTTTCATAGTGTTTGCCTTTCATTTTGATGGTTGTCTTTTCGTTCCTGCCTTGCTTGTTTTAATAATGTCTTACCTCTTCCCAACTGTATATTATGGGGGTTACCCAGAAAGTCCCGAGTAAATTAAAACTATCATCCCGCCTGGGGCAACAGGCAGTTTTCTTTGCTATAACTCAGATTCTGCCTTTAGGTTGTTTTACTTTAGATGACTTATTTTTAAAAATTCAGTAGAATTTCAGAGCTCCAATAAGGATACCATAATCAGAAGAGGAGGTACTTTAACAAAGGACCTCAAGCCCTATGACGTTTTACTCAAATGTAGTGTGTTTCTGCGTTTGGGTATGTTATTCTGAACCCATATATCAGATTCTCAAAGACCCCAAAGGGGAAGGAACCGTTCTCTAAAACTTAAAAGCCAGAGACTGTATACTTAGGAAATCCTTAGATTATAGTACTAGGAAGTTGAATTGGATTTCCTTTGAGAGTCTTTCCAAGATTTTTATTAATCTCTGAGGCTCTGCAGGGTGTGTTGGTATAGAACCGATCACCGAAAGGGCTGGAGAGTGGAGGCTGCAAACAAGGAAGGGGAGGCTAGAGCTAGAAGAGTGTAGCTGGCTGTTGAGTTACACGTATGTAACTCTTGAGTTGGAGTTGTGCAGTTGTGTCTACTGTTCGGGTGTGACCTGAATTTTGTCAAAGGCTTGTTCAAAACCTAAGCATCCTCTAACTACCACCTACCTTTCCAGAGCTGAAGAAGAGATAAAGGTTCCACTAAGAATTCAAGTAAGGAGTTTTTGCAGTCCTAAATTTATGCATTCAGTATATTACCAGCTTATTCTATCCTAGATTGCTCTTTAGGGCCATGTATTTTACTTTGTGAGGTTTTGTTTGTTTGTTTGTTTGTTTGTTTGTTATTATTATTTTTGAGGGAATTTGGTTTTGTTTTAAGGGGTGAATTGGCATTTGGCAACCTGATTCCTTGCTAGAAAGCTGGTGCAGTGATCTAAGGATGAGTGATATTCTCTGCAACAAGCTGACTGGTTTGTGGAACCAGTTGAATGTCCCGATGGCTGCACAGTACTATGATTATGATAACTCTTCAAGCAAGCAGTTTGATTTGGGATTCACTAGTGATCTAAAATTATTAAATTATAAATAATGGTACTCCATAAGGGCCAAGAAACAAATCACTTAGAAGCAGTTTATCTTGTATTGGTGCTCCCTTCGTTACTTAATTGTGAAAGTTGATACACACTAAATAAAATGCTCTGTTTTTACCTTGAGGAAGATCCATGATGTCAGCAAATCTTATCTTGGAACCTTTGTAAGAGTAAATGTTTGCTTAACGCAAAGGAAGCCTGGCCTAACTTCAGGCTGACAGATTTGTTTACTTGAACTACATCTGACTACAAGTGCATTAATTCACAAATTCACATAATTTTGTAGATAGGGTTTTATAATTAATGGCAAACATTAAAAAGCTATTTTTATGAGGTGTTTTTGTAATAGACTGTTAAAGACAAATGGTGGAGAATTAGTAGTTAATACAATGACTTAATTTTAAAGAAGACTTGAAGTTTCAGAAAAGGTAGTGAAATTGAAATAGAGAGAGAAAGACACAGGGTAGCAATTATCTGAATGTTGAAATCATTAGAACTGTGAGTAAGACTGTCTTTTAGTCACTAAGACTTCCCAGATGTGTTGACCCCAGCAAATTGCCTTTAATGTATGGTTTAACAGCAAAAGGGGAAATGTACAAAACTACAGTTGTAACCTCAAAAACCCAGTTTTACAGGGGAAACCTATGCAAACGTACAAAGTTGTACAATGAACTTAACAAATAGTGTTTTCTGGGGGGAACAAGTACAGAGAGAGTGTCTGGAGACCAGGGGTCTTGTCCGTGCCTGGCCAACTGGGGACTTGCCCGCCAGAGATTATGTCAATCGTTTGTAAACACAAAGGTGGGAGACTGTGCTCTCCAAAGGCCTCCCAACTCTGAAAGTTTGGTCATTCCTTTAATTATGTTTGGGTAAAGTTTTATGTCGTTAGAAGGAGCCGCGCTGGTGTCCTGTTGTTAGGTAGTTAGCGTCATGTTTAGTAAGCAGTACTTCATATCGTGTCTTCATGCATTGAGAATAAGTCTGTTCACCAGGTAATAATAACTGAGTCTTTTAATTTATGGTTTGCCTTCACCATTATTTCCTTATTCGATTCAGTGGCCTTGTCTCTTTTTCCTGTCCTTAACCACTTTGGTATTTAGTGCTAGTGACTACCCATTTCTTGAAATTCTTCCTTCCCTTAACTTTCATATTTTTTAAAGATTTTATTTATTTATCTTTAGAGGGGAAGGGAAGGAGAGAGGGAAAGAAATATCAATGTATGGTTGCTTCTCGTGCGTCCCTTGCTGGGAACTGGCCTGCAACCCAGGCATATGCCCTGACTGGGAATCGAACTGCGATCCTCTGGTTCACAGGCCCGTGCACAATCCACTGAGCTACACCAGCCAGAGCTTTTCTTCTTCTTTTTTTAATTAAAAAAAATTGTTTGCTTACCCAAAAAATCAGCTAAAATATGATTAAAATAAAATAAGCCACACTACACCCTTCACACTCACATCCCCCAGCATCGCAGTTCAACAGTTTGGAGTCTGTTTACTTGCTTTTCAAAAGAATTTTCCTAAGAAGTGTTAAACTTGTGACTTGCTCATCTGGTGTTCCTTATTCTTTCTTTTGTAATCTTGAGCTGAGCTATTCCTTCAGGCCCCACCCAGTCCTTTGTTCCTTGTTTCTTCTGTCCGAGTAAACCGGGCAGGCAGTCCCTCTGGTCTGCATCTAGAAGTCCAGACTCCCTGGCACGACCTTCCCAGAACCACGCCCAACACCGGAACCATTTTTCTCCGCACTCCCCCATCCAGCTCGGTCAGTTGCCTCGTTATCCCTGTGGGGCTTCCCGTGCAAATTCTTTCCTTCACCATCTGTTCTTGCTTGTCCCCCTCCTTGGCATGTCCTCTGCCTACCCAGACCCTGTGTGTCTCTTGGCTCTGGTCTGAGTCTCACTTTTCCGCCCACCCTTCTCCAGCTACTCTTAGTCCAGGTGCATCCGAACATTCTCCTGAGATTTCCTGAACTTAGATAGAACGAATGCTCGATTATGAGGTACAAAATCGCTGTGTTCTTCCTGTTTTTTCTATGTTGGTCTTATTGCTCTGTCAGTACATGTTCCTGTGCGTATTATAATGCTGCGCACACAATACCCAAGTACATTTCGTTATTTATTTTTTCATCGGGATATAATTGAATACCCCGAGGTATAAGTTTTTTCATCGGGGTAAATATAACATCAGTTTTAGGTATCCACCATAATGATTCATTATTTGAACATACTGTGAAATGATCACTTCATTTTGTACTACAGAATTTTTAGTGCTGTGGGAGATTATAAGTGAAGATTAATAGCGTCGGAGATGGCGAGTCAGGATAACAGTCCATACTACATACAGCTTCTTCTAGTGCTAATTTCTTGGTCTTCGACTGGGAATACGAACTAGTAAATGTCCAAATTTGATATGATACCCTTCAATCTTTTAGGACGCCCATGCAGAACCTGCCTCTTAATACTGCACTGAGGCTTAAAGTTAGTAAGAATAATTCCTGTTAATAAGTTTGGAGCAGGACTTTGAATGACTTGACATTGATTGCTTCTGGCCAAGCTGGACCCTGCCCTCTTACTGAGAATAGATAAACAGTCTGTATTTTTATTACAGATAAGCTTTTTTTTTTGTTATATAGCCTACACAGATGAGTTTTCCTGATAATCTAATTAGTGTAATAAGAATGCTTCGACTATTCTCAAACCCCAGTTAGAGTTTTAGGTTGATATCTTCTCATAATTAATTGACTTTTATACAACAGGTACATTTTGCAAACTTCTCATAGAAAAGCTCCTAAAACTCCTAAGATAGAGGTAACTAGAGGCAAGAATAAGGCAAATGGAATATTAGGCAGTACTTTATTACACTATAGTCTTGTAAAGACTTACTCCGGAATAATTAGAGTAGACTAAGAAAGGATCTTAGTGCCTTTGGGAATTTGTCTTGGTGTGTCATTTTGTATCCCATGGTTTATGATTGGGAATGCCAGTCCTAACGTCTGTCTGAAGGCGGTTGTTCAGGACATACTGGACAGTTTTATGCTTCACTAACAGGAAATCGTAGCCATAGGGTCTATTTTCATTCTTATAGAGACTCTTTTCCGTTGTAGGGATATATGAATTTTGTATTGCTCAGTAGAAAGGGGCATAACCTTAGAGGCTTAGATGCCAATTTAGATTTGATCTTTTTTTTTTGAAAACCTTTTATTTTGAAGTGATTATAGATTCACAGGAGCTTGGGGAAACTGTACAGGGAGGTCCTATATGCACTCACATTCATGCACGTGTGTGGATGTGTGTTACTGCTCTGCAGTGTTATCACGTGTGTAGCTTCCTAGAAGCACTGCCACAATCAAGATTCAGAACTGCTCCATCACCACAGGCTCCCCTCGTGCTTCTGCTTTGTAGCCACGCCGCTTCTCTCTCCCCTGGGCGCCACTAATTTGTTCTCCACCTCTATAATTTTTGTTTTTGAGGAATGCTATATAAATAGAATTATGCAGTCTATAACCTTTGTGATTGGATTTTTTTTTCACTCTGTATAATTCTCTGGAAATTCATCCAGGTTGTTGCATATGTCAAGTTCGTTCCTTTTTATTGCTAAGTAGTATTCCATGGTATAGTATACCTACCACAGTTTGCTTAACCATTGAAGGACATCGGGATTGTTTCCAGTTTGGGGTTATTATGAATGAAATTGTTATGAATATTCATGTACCGATTTTTGCATGAACTTAAGTTTTCATTTCTCTTGGTTGGATGCAGAATCTTGGTTGGATGCTGGGTTCATGGCAGTTGCATGCTTAGTTCTTAAGGAAACAGCTAAACTGGCCTTGGCTGCTGTGGCTGAGTGGACTGGACATCGTCCTGCAAACTGAATGGTTGCTGGTTCCATTCCCGGTCAGGGCACATGCTTGGGATGTGGGTGTGTGAGAGGCAGCTGATCAATGTTTCTTTCACACATTGATGTTTCTTTCCCTCTCTTTCTCCCTCCCTTTCACTCTCTCTAAAAGTAAATAAGTAAAATCTTAGGAAGGGAGGGAGGCAGGGAGGGAGGGAGGGGGCAGGGAGGGAGGGGGTAGGGAGAGAGGGGGTAGGGAGAGAGGGGCAGGGAGGGAGAAACTGCTAAAGTGTTTTCAGAGTGACTGTATCATTGGCCATTTTGTGTGGACATGTTTTGTAGGATAAGATTTTTATTATGTACTGGGAAATGTATCTGTTGATTTTGGTAGCAATTTTGTTGCCCTTAATGTATCTGGTTGCTTCTACCGGCCTGACTTGGGGGAGATGGCATTTCCCGATGCAGGCGTCTACTTGGGTCATCAGTTATTTTGATTGTTTTAATACTCAGAAGGAAACTCCCTCAGTTTCCACCAAACCCACACAAACTGCCCAAGTGAAACTCTTTACTTTCTTCCCTCCTGTTTCTAGAGAAGAGTTAGACCAAACCTGAGCTCCAAATCCCACCTTTAGAGAACCTCTTTTCTTCCTGTCCTCTGACACACCCATCTTTCTGGTTTCTGCCTAAGCATTTAAACACACCCAGTTCTTTCCCATCTAGACATTATCTTCCCTTGGCCCTCCTCCACTGCTACCCTAGCTGGCCACTCTGCTGAAACCACACTTCTTGCCTGTGCCGTCTGCATTCTGCTGCTTTGTCTTCCCCTTACTTCCCAACATGCAGTGCTGTCGTCTAAGCTTCCCTGTATGACTACCCTGAAATTGTCTTGCTGATGTCATCAGCAGCCTTCCTGCGGCCTGGGCTAATGTGTTTCAGTTTTGTTCTTACCTGACTACTCAGTAGCATTCAGGACTCTGGATTCCTTTCTCTTTGTAGAAGTACTTTTTTCTTGGTCTACTGTTCCTTGGACTGTTGCTCCTGATTGTCCTTTGCAGGTGTCTACCCCTCTGCATATCCTTGGGTTCTTCAGAGTTCGGCACAAGGCCAACTTTGCTCATTCTGGGTGATCTCATGGCTGGCCCCCACATCACTAGCTCCATCTCAGACTTCCCGCCTGAGCTCCAGGCCTGTATATCCGTTCACCTCCTAGGCATCTCCACCTGACTCTCCTCCAACCCCCTCATACACAGCATAATTAAAGCTGAATTTATTCTCTTCCTAACACTCTTGTGTCTTAAAAAGAAGAACAAAACAAAACTCTTCTTTCTGCATTGTAGCATCAGTACGTCAATGCCACATATACAGCAGTGGGAGCACTGTGAAAACCCACTTCCATTCAAGTTGCTGGGTCCCCCAGAGCTAACCATCAGTCAAAAAAAAATCATTCTGACCTACGCCTGTCCGTCACCGACAGCCGTGCCCGGCCGGCCCCTCCGCAGCGCTCTTTGCTCTCCACCTGTCTATCAGTTGACTTGTGTTAGTCTCGTACTGGTTTATATGAATGATGCTTTTTATGGCCAGGCATTTAATTAAATATTACACAAACTAAGATTGGGTGTGAAAAGGAATTGCTTCTGTGAAAAGTAAATTGAATGCTTCGGAAAGATGGAAAAATAAGTTACTGAAATATTTGCTGTGGAATTAAGAGCAAGGCAACTGTGAAAGGCTGGTAAAACCAGTCCCACTCTAGAAGGATTCTGTACTCTGACAATCGGCGTCCAAGATCTTGCCCCACTTGCGGTAACATCAGTGTGGAAGTGGTAGTTATAAGTGAGGGAAGTGATTAATGCAGAAAACCCGATGTGGAATTCCAGCTTGGTAGGCTCATGCGCAAGGCCCACCTCAAACGCTTAGCGAATAAATACGCCATTTTGTATTAGGTTAAAATGTCTCAGCACATACATATTATCTTGTTTCCTACTCTGTTGGTACTCATTCTGTAGGAAGGGCTTCTACTGCATTTTTCAGTAATTAGCCACTCTCTCTGTTACTGTGGCTAGCTACCCCGGGCCCTCTCTTTTCCCTGATTTCATGTATCAGCTTCCCGGCTAGATGTCTGCTCCACTTTTTGCCCTTCCTCCAGTCTCATCTGCGTACTGTAGCTAGTGAGAACTACTAAAAGCATGAACTTGGTCATGCTACCCTTTGCTTTAAAACCCTTAAAATCCAGAGCCCTTAAACTAGTTAAAGATGACATTTAGAGCTGACCTTGGCTTACCTCTCTAGTCTGGTCTCATCGTTTTCGTCTTCTGTCCCCTTTCTTCAAACTGGACACGTTGGCCACGGTGACTCAGCTTGCTCTCACAGCTCACTTGCGGGTGGTGCGATATGCGTGTGCACGCCGGGTGGGAGGGTGCCGTGCTCCCCCACCTCTGGGTCTTCAGGTGCGCCGCTTCTCTGCCTGGAACTTCGTTTGCTGACTCTAGCCCCTCGAACTGACTCTACTGTCCTCCAGGAAGCCTTTCCTGACCCCCCAAGTTCAATGGCTCTTCAGTAAGCTTTTACAACAACACCCACTGTTTACCCTGTTCCATAGTACATGGTGGGTGACTGACTGTGTGCCTACCCTCCCCTCAAAGCAGCCAGACTTAAGTTCTTTGTAAGTTAGCCGTTCAGTGTGTTTGCCATAGTCTCGTCTCCGCTTTATGAATATTTGAGTGGACAGATGGCATTTTCTGAAAACTGGAGGTTTCTCTGGAAAATCACTGAAGTAAAATGCTCTGTTTCCTTTGTAGTCGCTGTCCCTGCTGGCCTTTATCTGTGAAGAAGTGGTCGCACAGTGCACCTTGTGTGGGGGCCTGTACTTTTTTGAACTTGTGAGCAGCAGCGCCTTTCTCCTGAGTCTCCTTATACTGATCGTGTACTGCACTCCAGTGTACGACAAGGTGGACGCCGGGAAAATCAAGTTGTCGGTAGGCGTGAAAAAGTAGTATCCTTACGTTGGGAACACAGAGATTTTGGAATCTTGTATTGTTTTATTATTCAAAGCAGTAACGCTTTCAAAAACTCAGTAACACGAGCAAAGTTGTTCCAGTTCCGCCTGTAAGCGACTCAGCTTTCCCCCGCCAGATGGCAGGATGGAGGGGGAAAGTGAAATTAGAACGAAAGTGACAACACTGCCCATATTGCACAGCAGCTGGTAGTTTAATCTGATTCGCATTAGGTATTTTTGAAAACTAAGTTTGTCACTTTTGATTTCTCACATTTTAGAGTGTCACTCATTGGTTCGACAGTTTTCAGGGTGTGCCTGTTATACGTCAGGCATGATGCTAGAACTAGAGATGGAGTAGTAAACTAATGTGCTGTATTTCTGGAGCTTGTAAATCAAACGGCACGTAATCCTACTCATTTTGTTTTGATTTCATCATGAAAAAAAGTTGTCAGTGAATTCAGAAGGCATTTATTAAAAGACTTAGCCTGCTGAACCTGTGTTTTTATTTTAGTGTAAGGATTTGTGTATTTATTTTTAGAGAGAGAGGAAGGGCAGAAGAAAGAGAGGGAGAGAAGCATTGATGTGTGGTTGCCTCTCATGTGCCCCTACTGGGGACCTGGCCCGCAACCCAGGCATGTGCCCTGACTGGGACTCAAACCAGCTATCCTTTGGTTCACAGGCCAGCACTCAATCCACTGAGCTACACCAGCCAGGGCTTAATTTTTTTTTTTTAATCTTAAAACAGCTTTTGTAAATATTTTACTGTATTTCTTTTGGGCCTTTGTTTCTAGTAATAGGTAATTTTAAAATTTAAAACAGTTGTAATCATAGAGTATATATATTCTGCTTTGTACTTAACTACATAAGGATTTCATGTTTGTTTCAGTAGTTTAAAAATCACTTCTACTGTGTGCATAATTACTTAAATTTTAAATATATTTTCGTGTGAGGGAGGTTTTCTGATTTAGAGAAAAGGTTTTGAGTGTGTGGTGGTGGCGTCCAGAGGAGAAGGGCAATCTTTTACAAGGAAGCATCTTTTCTCTTCTGTGCCACTGGGGTCAGATTCTGTCGAGAATAACAGTGGCCACCATTTAGACATTTACTGAGTGCCTGGCACTGATCTAAGCACTTTCCATGGATTAACACTGATCTTTGGAATCATTTTATAAAGAGGTTACTGTTATTATCTCCATTTGCAGACGAAGAGACAAAGGCACACAGATATTAACTAATTCAAAACCATAAAGCTGGGAAGTAGTGTCACTGGGATTTGAACTCAGTCTGGCTCTAGAACCCATGCTTGTTGAATAGTACATTCTTCTGTCTCAAAATGACTGTCTTCCTTGAAAGCAATCCAAACTTAGTAGAATCTTATATATGTGTGTAGCAGATTTGAAATAATATTTAAGGGAATAGGGAAAACGAAGTACTGTAGAAAAATATATCTTTTAGAAACAAAACTCCTTAAATGTTCTTTTTAAAAAAATATTTTATTTATCTTTAGAGGGGAAGGGAAGGAGAGAGGGAGAGAAATGTCAGTGTATGGTTGCCTCTCGTGTGTCCCCTGCTGGGAACTGGCCTGCGACCCAGGCATGTGCCCTGACTGGGAATTGAACCTCAATCCTTTGGTTCACAGGCCCATGCTCAATCCACTGAGCTACACCAGCCAGGGCTCCTTAAATGTTTTAATAAATGTTAAGTAAACAGTTGACAATAATATAGGAATTTTATGTTGGATAGTTTTATTTATATTGAGTTTAGTGGAGATTGTGTTTCAGAAAACTCCAAGTGTCAGACTTTGGAGTGGCTCTCATTTACCAGGTTCTCTTCTGAATCAAGTACATATGTCAAGCATTTTCAGTTTTAATGTAAGAGAGAGCGCCTTATGAGATAGTGCCCGAGAGAGCCCTTGGGAACCCGTGAAGAGCTACATCACTGTAAGCTGTGTTGTGATGGGGGATGGGGGCTTTTACGGTAGCAGGTAGCTTGTGACACTGGCCTGTGTGGGATTACCCATGTGGAACTGAAAGCAGTACGTTACTGCAGAAAGTTTAAGTGGCTAAAAAGCATGCTACTGGCATACTTGTGTTTAGTTGATGATGGGTGGTTCTTTTGAGTCTCTTTTCCAAAGTGCTTTCAGAGCACTGATGTACTCAGGCCATCCTGGCACAGAAATACATCGGAAGGAAATAAACATGCCTTTTTTTTTTAACCAGAAGATAGGATTTAATAAATCCTTTGGCTTTGATCATTTTAATATGTCCCAGAGAAATGCACACACACACACGATCTTTTGGGGAACTGTTTTATGGAAAGATTATCTGTAATGTGTTCTCAGAATGTGCTCTGTCCGAAGTTCGTGTTCCTGTGCAGGGCACCCGCCTGGTGCCAGTCTTGTTGAAAAGATGGAAGTCCAGTGTGCACATCTGGGTTGTGGGAAGCAAAAGAAATGTCATTAAAGTTTTTTAAAGTAAAAACTAAAATATTTGTGTCTGTCCACCTAACCATACTGTATTCCTTATGTGTTCTGTCCACACGTATAGGATTTATACATTACTGGGGTGACAGGAATAGTGTTTTTGTTGGCGTCCATCATTTTTGTTGTCACACATGACCAGACTTCAGCGGAAATCGCTGCAACTGTAAGTACCCCCCGTTTTTGTCTTCGCTTATTTTTCTGTCTCATTAGCAATTTGGAAAGTAGTTGACAGATTATACAACACGGGAGAGTAGTTTGTCTTTTAACTTACTTTGTATTGTAATTTTGAATAGAAGACCTAAACGCAAATAACGATAGCTTTAAATATGATAGCATGAAAAACCTAGAAGCTGTCTTTAGAATTTGAGTTTTGTTAACAAAACCACATTTACTCCAGATATGCACATGTTATTGCTGATGGAATTGGTAGAATTCACTTTATTATCTTATGTTTCTCTACTTTTCAGTTCAACAAAACACACCTACATGGCAGGTGCTGTTCTAGGTGTAGAGAACACACAGGAACAATGATCCAAAAGTTGAGCCTATTAAAAGATCAAAAGAAAACATTTGTATCTGAAGTCCTTTGGTGGGAGGGGGGTTGTTTTAGAATCGAGAATATTTTGGGTTTTAGACAAGTGATGCTGTACATGAACTTTATTACATAGAACCTTCGGGGGGCCTGGGAAGCACCCTAGAAGCCAGCACACGACTGTTTCCGAAGCACATGAATATTTGCAGTAAGAGGGACAGGCAAAGGTCTTAAATAGTTCTGTTTCATGTTGGCTTTGAGCCACGCAATTATGAAAACTTTGAGCTTGTTTTGGATTTCAGAATTGCAAATCAAGGACCATAGACCTGAATTGGTACCATTGTTCCGAGTGTGAACATCTCAGAACTAGATAACTAATCCTTTTACAAGTCAGCTGGTTTCCCATTAATACTTTGCTCATGACAAAATTGAGGTTGTAATTGAGATGTCAGCTAATAGATCATTAAAATGACTTCTTATGATAAAAAAAAACTTAAAAGGAAAAATAAAACCTGATGATCAACAACAACAAAAAAAACTTAAAAGGAGTTCAAGAACTGCATGACTATAATGCATCTCCTTATTCATGGTTTCCTAGCACTCGCACGTATAAAAGCAAAACATGGAAGTAAAATTAATGCTGAACTGTGACTCACTCCAGCAACAAGTAGTATTTATTCATGGGTATGTGAACCTCTTAAAGAGAAAACCAAAAGTTCTAATAAAACCTTTTTAGTTTATATATGTATCAGTACTTCAGAGGAAGTATTGCAGAGGAAGAGGATAGGATTGTCAAGAAAGTATTGTCAACTATAGAAATATATTACTATAAAGTCCTGTGGAAGAAGGGGAGGTTGAGGAAAAGTTGAGTTCGGGGGGGAAAAAAGCATGGCATAAAATTCCCAGCTATTAAAAAAGACCTTGTTTATGCATTTTAATTAGATGATATAGTTATATTATTACAGTATTTAGAGTTCATTGGATATATTTAAGACTGACTGGCAGTTTAAAAACTCTGTAGTATGCTGGAAATTACCTTTAGCAGCTATTTTAAATTATGAAAATTTTTGTAGAATTAAATGAGTGAGGGAGTGTATTTTTTTTTTAATGTGTCAAGTATGTGAGCCAGTGCGCGGGAAGATCCTGTGTCCGGATGCCCGGTGTGGACCGGAGCTCTCCGAGGACATGGGGGGTGGCTTTGCAGACTGGTGACGTCCGGTCTACCTTCAAAGTACTGAGTTAGCCCGTCCTGTAGGGGAGAAGTGCCGTCAGGGGAGAACAGAGTTGGGTTTTGGGTGGGGGGACGCTGAGGTGAAGTCATTAACTTGGAGCTCAGCTGGCTTCACAGTGAAGGGAGGCAGAATGCGTGTTCTTGGGGTGGGAGGGTGGGTGTGGGGGGAAGGAGACTGCAGCAAATGACAACAAAATGGTAGAAACCATGGAGGGGACTTTCGCCATTACCTGCTTCAGTTTTCTCCTTTTATAGAGCACTTTGGCCCCCACTTCCTTAAAGGTGTTGCGAGGGAAGAAGCTAAATTTGAACCCAGGTCATCTGTCTCTGGACAGAATTCTCAGAATGTCCATCATATCTTAGCAGAGCACAATAATGAGGAAGTGGTTTAAGGAAGAGGAAGTAAATAGTGGCATCATGTCGCGTCATTAGAGTGTGACAATGAACTGGGAAATGTTTTTTCAATAATTTAACCTAAAGGTATCTTCCAAATAGAGTTTTCTCGTGTTAACAACTGTTCCTCTTCCACCCAGGCTCAGCCGCCTGGTCCCGGGCGCCCCTCCCTGATCCGAGGGGCGGTCCGACGTTGCCAACAGTCCTGTGCGTGTCGTTCTGCAGCGTCTTGCTGTTCATCCGTGGGCCTCGCCCCATAGATCGGTGGTCCACGTGAACATGCACTGGACATGCATTTATGATGAGACAGGGCGTTTGTTACTTGTGAGATTGTGACTAAGCCATTATTCCGGAATTCTTTTTTTTTTGTAACGTCTTTCCATTTTTTGGTGACTTTAAACATCTTTTTCTTACCCCTAAAGTTAAGATAAAACTATTGAATCATCCTGCTTATATGAAACACTCTCAAAGCCAAGCAGCAAATGTGAGATTACATTATAAAATTCTTCATAGAACCTTTGCCCCCCCTTTCCTCCTCAGGTGTTTGGATTTCTCGCAAGTATTGCATTCCTGGTTGACGGTTGCTTGATGGTCCATGAAAAGCGACAGGCGTCCCAGCTGAGAAAACCCGAGACTACCACCAGGGCGGAGGCCCTCACTGAACCACTGAATGCTTAAAGACTCTGGGCAGCAGGCGTTTCGTAAGGCGGTGACTGCGCGCCCCGGAGCCCCTGCAGAAGCTCTTGTACAGTCTGTGTAATCGCTAAACCACTTCTCTTGGGGAGCAAGGGGAAGGGCCCAAAGGCCGTGTTACCGACATGGGGTAGTGTGCCAGTCACCACAGATTAGGCCGGCAGGGTTTGTTTGTTTGTTTGTTTGTTTGTTTTTAATAACATTTGAAATTTGTATCAGCGAAATTTATTTTTTATTTTTTGGAGGTGAGGGCAGTTGTTTCATGAAGTCCCAGCTCAATTACTGATAAATTATCCTCTCATTGTTACTAGGCTTAGCCTTCAAATTATGCCTTATACCTATATAAACAGCGTGATGAAGTTCATCCATTTAGACTTTTTTTCACTTTATTAAGTTAATTTGCTTAACTATGAGTTTGTTTCTTGAGGATTACATAAAATTTAATGTGTATTTACATGTTTAAATTCAATATTTAAAATGTTGGTTTAGGTTTTTTCTTAAAATATAATGCCCAGGCCCTACTGCATCTCCCTCAGCCTTAAGATTACATTGTAACAGTTCAAGATAATTGTTATTAACTCTTTTATAGCCCTGATAGAAACTGTGTGGGAGATGCTAGTATTTTATATGTATAAAATCAACATGAGCAACCCAGCATCTGTACTGCACTTTGGTGGTTGTTGATATCAAGTAAAGAAAAATAGTTTTTTGTGTATAACACGTAGAAAAACGGGAGAAACTGCTGTCTTACCCAAGAACCAAAGAGAACAAAGATTTACTTTTTGTGCAATACAGTAAACTTATAAAAGCAGGCTTGGACCACTTACCAAAAGTCCCGAGAGGCGAGTTCACGCTGTGAGGGAGAAAATGGTTTGCTCCCCTGTTGGCACGTGGTTACTTCTGCTGAACTGATACAGCTCTGCAGGTCCTGTCCAGCAGAGCCGTCCTTGGAGCCAGTCTTTCCAAAACCCCAGCCTTTGGGTTTTTCATCTACTTGAGACGCTTGCCTTTCTGTCTCCTTCCCAGAATGGTCCATACACTGCTCCTTCGTCAGGCAGAGGTGCACTCCCGGCCCCGGCTTGCTCTTGTTGGAGGTGGTTTTAGGTGGTCCCGGGTCTCGGGCCCTTCTAATTGCCCAGTGTTAGCAGGGTCTTCGGGGCTTTTGTCCCCTCAGAGCAATGCCTTTGGAGGAAACCGCCTTAAGGGAGTGAGTGTCTAGGGCCCTGCCCAGGTTAGTGCTGTTGACGGTGTAAGGAGTGGTCAGACCGTTCTCAAGAGACGCTTCACAACCAGTTCTGATAATCTGGAAGAATTGTCTGTTGTTGGCAGGCTGTGGTTTGCAGAATGCACCTTTCTTACCCTCCTTCTAGATTTCTGACTCAAAACTTAAACTTTGATGTCCAGGTGATGAGCCCACCCGCCAGGTCCTTCAGGAGTTTGGGGGAGTGTCCCGGGCTGGGCGTGCTAGGTCGTCTGTCTGAAAAGGTGGAATCATGTTTCCAGCGAGGCAGTCTAGGGACCCTGTCGTTTTTAACTTCTCATCTGCCTTTTGTGCCTGATAGGTCGGTTTCAGCTGCATCCAGGTGGCTAATGTGACTCAAAACTTGGTCATTATGGCCAAACACAGCTTCTGCTCTGCCTCCGTGACTCAGGACCTTATCTGTTTGTATCAGAGTCTGGATGCTAGTGTTAGTGGCGGTATCATCATTACCGGCTTGGGAGATAATGAAGCCAGTCGTGGATGCTGTTGTTCATCTAAGAGAGGAGAACTGGCTTGGGTCTTGGGTTCACAAGACTTGCCGGCTTACAGTCGGCAAGTTCAGGAACTTCCCACCAAACTACTGTACTGTTGCCATATTAAATATCATCTGGACCCAGCTAGGATTCACAGCAAACCATCTGGACTACCTCAGGGTCCCTGCCCACGCGTTGGGTTCAGCCGAGTTTGCTGGCCGCATCCTCAGCGGGCCTCACGTGTGCAGCTGGCGTCGAGCTCAGTTCTGGGTGTTCGGAGGTTTGCTTCCGTCTGTTCCCGGGGAGTAGGGCAGCTGGTCCTTGCCTTTTCAAAAAGATCAGACATTCACTGGTATTTTGGTCACTCCAGAACTTTCTTTCACGTTGCTTTTTTATGGGACCCGTGACCATTTAGCCTCCCTCTCCCCTCGTAGAAGAGACTCTGAGTGAAGAGACCACTGCGGTGAATGAAACGTCCCGGGGGCATTGGGGCCAAAACCACTGTTCGGTCAGGAAAGGACAGACTCGGCAAACTCAAACTTAAAATAGGTTTTATTGTCACATATTATAAATTTAATTTGTTACATTTTATACAAACAAACTGGAGTAGTTTTTAAAAAGTATAAGGGAAATGCACTTACAATATAAAAATTTTATAATTGCTGTACTTAAATTATGTTCTGTTTGGGGACTGGGAAATGTATTTTTACATTGTTTATAGCCAATCACTTTTGTATTTATCAATTGAAATCCCGTGGGTTTTTTTACCTTTCTCCATGTCAAATTTTGTAGTCTTCTTTTTAAATAAATCCATCCTATTGACCATGCTTTTGTAGTTGTTTAATCATTGGGGAAGCACGGTATTTAGAAGAAAGCTGTCTCCGGGCTGTAGGAGTTGGCTCTGCAGCCGTGGTGCGAACCCACACAGAACACCGGACTGTGGGTCGGCCCGGGTGTGGGGCGCAAGTAGAAGAGACACACCCAGTTCTGAGCCCGGGGCTTTTCCTCCCGTCGAGAAGTTGGGATGTACATTCAAAGAAGAACTTGAAGGGAGCTATGGGTGAAGAGTTTGAAAGGAATGTTGTAGACTAAACGCCTTTAAATGCCACCACAGCAGCAAATTTGGACTCTCATCACATTTCTCAACGTGGCTGACAATGCTAAGAACAAAATAGGCGCATTCTCTTCCGTCTGTTCGACTGGGAGAGTGTGAAGCGAAACTGGGGTGGTTTTGGAAAGCTCCAGCTATTTGTGTGGTGTGCAAAATTCCTGCCTCCAGCCTGCATGAGAATAACAAGGTCTTTATGGTCATCGCGAACTCACTGGAATTTGTGCATTCTTCAGAGTTTTGTGTTCTGTTTTGTTCAAGAGTGCTATCAAGACGCAGTTGACTGCAAGGAGTAGAAAACCTACTTAGGTGTGTCTTAAAGATTAAGGAACATTTATTTCACAAGAAGTCTGGATAGGACAGTTCTGAGACTGGTCAATTCAGAGGCTTCAGTGGTGTCCTCAGGGACCCAGGTTCTGCCTTTCTGTGCTTCCCCGCCCGTCCACCGTCTGCTGCGAGCTTTGGTCCTCAGGACGGACCCTCGCCCGTGTAGCAAGACTGCAGCAGCCTCTGCAGGCATCGTCCGCGGCTCGGCCATGCCCGAAGGCCAGGAGAGATCGTTTCTTATTCTGTCTCCAAGGTGTTTCTTTTCTTGCAGAAGTGCCTCCCTGGCCTTCATGTACTTACTACAAGACATTAAATGCCCATTTCTAAATCATTGATATGGAGAATGGAATTACTGTAATTGGCTTGAAATCATCAAGATTTCCCCTTAGATTGTGAGTACGCTTTGAAACGTACCACCTTCCGATACCTGAACAAAGCAAGAGACAGGGCCGTTGGGTTGGGGATAAAGAGTATCTGTCTTAGCAGGTTACGGGTTGTGCCCCAGCCAGGAAAATACAATTCTCAGTTTAAGATTTTTTTTTTTGTGCGCCTGATTATTCCAAAACAATTTCATATAGAAAAACTAGCATTTTTTTAGACCGAATTATAACTCTATAAAGTAATGTGTGCCATAGAAAATTGGTTCAATGAAAAGTGGCAAGTGTTCTTCTCCTGATAGCTTTGCATCTGGCTACTTTCATTTTTTATTTTTAAAATAGGCCAGACACTGGGAGCACAGAGGCTAAATCCTGTTGTGACACCACCCAGCTTCAGTGGATCGTGACGTTTTGCCATATTGGCTTTAAGGGTCCTTGGTTAAAAAAGAAGTGACATGCCCCGGCCACATGGCACTTGGCTGGAGCGTTGTTCCATGCACCGAGAGGTTGCCGGTTCGATTCCCGGTCAGGGCACGTGCCTAGGTTGCGGATTCGATCCCAGGTGGGGTGCGTATGGGAGACAACCTATTGATGTTTATTACATCGATGTTTCTCTCCCCCACCCATGTGCTCTCTCTCTTTCCTTCCCTCCCTCCCTTCCTTCTCTTTCTAAAAATCAATGGAAACATGTCCTCAAGTGAGGATTAAAGAACAAAAAATTTCTTTAAAAAAAGAATATGAAATTATACTTCAAAGTACCACCACCTCTAATCTTATTCTATTTCCTTTGGAAAAGGAATAGTAAACATAGTAAACACTGTCTTGAATTCAGTGGGCATCTTTCCCGTCTGTTTTTATGATCTGTATCATCTATATACGAGTGTGTCCATAAACAAATTACATGGTACTTTTGCTATATGTATCCTTTTATAGCTTGCTTTTTCAATTAGTATTTTGCAGTGCATCTGATACACGTAACTCCATTCCTTTCAGGTGTTACTTGGTATTCCATTGTATGAATGTGCTACAATTTATTTCTCACCCCCCTGTTTTTGTTTTTTTTTTAAGATTTTATTTATTTATCTTTAGAGGGGAAGGGGGAAAGGAGAGAGGGAGAGAAAATCGCGGGGGTACCCCCTGTGATAGAAGAAATTTAATGTAGTTTTCTTTTTGACCATTTCCACCAATGTTACAGCGAACAAACACACTTAAACATCTCGTGCACATGTGCAAGGGTTTATGTGCTGGGTGTGAACTTAGAAATAAAATGATTGGGTCTGAGGGCATGTGAACTTACACTGTGGCTAAATATTTCCAGATGGGTCTCCAAAGTGCTAGCACCAGCCCATGTCCTCATCATCTGTGTAGGGGAGTGCTCGTTTCCCACCCTTCTCGTACTTAATGTCCGTCCGACTCCATGTTTCTGCCACCGTGGGACTGAAACGGCCCTTCATGTCATTCTGCAGTTCCCCTGTAAGTGGTGAGGCCGATCATCTTGTGTGTCGACCTTTTAGGCTTCCACACATCTGCGAGTTGCTGGTTTATATCCTTTGCCTTTCTGTTTTTCCATGTTGAGCTTTTCTTTATTTGAGAGTTCGCAACATGTAAGGGATATGACCCTTTGTTAGTCACATGCCTTGGAAATGATCTTCTTGCAGCCTGTGATTCGTATTTTCACTTTGCTTCATTGGTTCCCTCAAGGTCAGAGATGTTCTCCTGTACTTGCCAAAGTGTTTTGAAGATTTGCATTTTATACCTGGCACTGGAGCCTGCCTCCATTTTTGTGGGTAAGTACCTCATGCCATCGGACTGATAACTTCAGCAAGTGACTTGCTCCTCTGACGGACAGCGTTGCCTCCGTCATTTACCAAGTTTGTGTGTGTGCATGTGTGTGGCTTTCTTGGGTTCCTTTCGTATACTTCTGCTAATCCTAGAGTCTTTAGAAAATCATTTATTTATTTTTAGGGGGAGAAATAGAGGGAGAAAAACCTCGGTGTGTGGTTGCCTCTCACACACCCGCACCTGGGGCCCTGGCCCACCACCCGGGCATGTGCCCTGGCCAGGAACCAAACGGGCGACCTTCCAGGTGACAGGACAATGTCCAACCTACTGAGCTAACACCCGTCAGGGCAGTCCTACAGCCTTGCTAAAATCTTAATATCTGATAGGGCAAGTTCAAAAGTATTGTGCTCTATTCCTGGTACTCAGTTTTTTAAAGACCACTTTTTAGAGCAGCTTTATGTTTACAATAAGATCGAGAGGAAGGTGCCGAGGCACCGCACATTTTTAGGGTGGGGTTGGTCAGTTCCATAAAACACCCTTACTGATATTTTTTCCTTGGAGTCGCACTGGGTGTATGCATTCATGTGAGGAAACGTGACTTATGACCGACCACTGCGGTGGGGACCTGGGGTCCCCGTGATGCCAGCCTTTGTTCCCATGGCCTTCGCTGTGCCGTTCTTGTGCCTCGTTCGTCCTGTGCGCCCCGGATACTGTGACACTGTCACAAAATGTGTCAGAGACGCTGTGAAAATGTGAATGAGCACAACGAGAAACTCCCTCTCCTCCAGTTCCAGTGACACGTGTCTTTTATTTCCCTTGATCTCTAACAGCAGAATCTTAATAATTTTTATTTCTAACGAACTCCTATTACAATTATTTAGTTATTTTCTAAGATGAGATAATATGACTCCTTCATGTCCTGTACTTCCATCTGGGCCCTAAATACAAGAGTCTTTTTTTTTTTTTTTAAATATTTTATTTATTTATTTTTAGAGAGAGGGGAAGGGAAGGAGAAAGAGTGGGAGAGAAACATCAATGTGTGGTTGCCTCTCTTGAGTCCCCTGCTGGGAACTGGCCTGCAACCCAGGCATGTGCCCTGACTGGGAATCGAACCGCGATACTCTGGTTCACAGGCCCGCGCTCAATCCACTGAGCTATGCCAGCCAGGGCCCTAAATACAAGAGTCTTTAAACTGGTATTTCTAGTAACAACCTGGTTGTGAAAATCAGGCATGTCTGTGGCAGGAACCTCCCCTCACACGGCTTCAAAGAAACGTCCAGAGTAGTGGGTGATTTTCCTGCAAGGATCCATTGCTGGTACCAGAGACTGTTGTTTTTCTCTCTAAGAAGCATGGTATCCTTATTAAAAACGCTCACGTTCTGATGAGAAGGCTGAAATGCAAGGTGATCGATTTGTACGGATCGTTTGTCTGCTGCGCCCATGTGTTATGTCACCTGTCCCTCTATTCCTGTCATTCCCTCCACACTGAAAGATAGCTCCAGTGCCTCACTTAAATTCAGGTTCGTCTTTTTGTTTTCCCAGGATTTTCTGGTAGGCGACGCTGGGCATTTCACGTCTTTGTCAGACGGGGCTGCTCCCGCTGAGTGCTCCACTCGTCCGTGTGCCGACACCCGGACCCCACCCCCGGTGACCTTTCCCATCGACTTGTTAGCTGGAAGGCTCCACTCATTGATCTTCGTCTAAGCCTGTTATTTTATTAGAGGTTGCAGCATGGTGACTTTAATAAGTCTGTAATTCCTGCCACCTTGGTTAGCTGAAATTCTTCAGTGATGCTCTTAACCTTTTTAGCACGCATATTCAACTTAAAAAACAAAATTGGCAAAGCTAATCAGCACTGCCACCCCTCCGCTGGGTTGGTACTGCCTAGCAGTTCAGTGCGTCTTGTTTCACCCCCTCCCTCAAGTTAGCTCTCGCTGTTGGTGCGGCTTAGATTTGCCAATGTGTTTTAGTTTTCCACCCCCGGGGCTTCTTTGGTTTCTACTCCTTAGTTTTAGATTCCAGTTTTCTTCTGACTCCAGTGTTACTTGTCTTTTCGCCAACAGTCTAAAAATGTTTATTTTTGCCCTTGGTCTTAAACACAGCTAAGCCAGATGTAGAATTTTAGATTGACTGTTATGTTTTTTTAAATTACTTCAAACATATTATTCCCTTGTCATCTGGCCTGTAACACTGCAAAAAAAAATCTGCTGTTAGCCTCCATTCATAGTA